CTTACTTGTTTTTACTGATTAGAAAACTGAAGGCAAAAAGTAGCACCACTTAGAGAACACACACACACACACACACACACACACACACACACACACACAATTGTCCATAGAATCCCTGAAGATATATTTTACCTGATTCTTGAGTTAACAGAAGACTTATTTCCCTTTGGACCTCTTGCTTTGCTCCTCTCCTAACTGTTCTCTGGTGATGACATTTTAAAGATCGTTTGTTTACTTGTAACATTTTATAGTATGGTCCCTATCAATGTCCAGGCATGATCACAATGTGGTTTCTAAAAGGCCTTGAAATCTCTACTGACTTTAAAACTCTGTGAGGGCAATGCTTTACCTCTGATATAAAATTCAATCAAAATAATAAACTTCAGCGTGGTACTCTTTCGCACGTTTTAAAATGAGTTCATAATGACTTCTCTGCATTCAACAGCCATTTCTGCCATTTCTGCCGTTTCTTCCCTGGGAAAGCCCCAACAAATCCTTTTGCTCACTACCTTCTTAATATATAGAGTGAATTGCTTTGCAACTTGAATTCATGATTTTAAAAAAGCAGTGACCTAAAAAGAGGAATTTTTCCCCTAAACTTCTTGTCTTTTGTTCTTATTCCCCCGTAGGTTATATGTTTTTGCAAGAAAATCCGTTTGTGCCCCTTAGAATTTTTCTTTTTAACTGAGGCAAAGTATCACGTTGGCTCTGGGACGGATCACAGACCTGGACATGATACTTCAGACCCTGTCCTATAAGTCAGATGCAAACGTGAATGGTCAAAGCACCTGACCGGTCTACATTCCCTTGGGCATAGGCTTCCCCAAACTCCGCCATCAGACTGGCAGCCTCAGAAAGCTGCATCATTCTTCTTTACATCTCAGGCCAAACAGGTGGCCTTGAACCACACAGCGTATGTCCAGGCTCAGACAGAACCTTGCTTATTCAGGAGGAAGGGACCAAGAAGCACAATGGAAAATTACCACGGTGTCTCAAATTTAAAACCCTAACTTTCCTGTTGCACCAAACGATGCGTTTGCAAAATACCGAAACACCCAGATGAAAAGTAAAATCTGTAGTCAGCCATTCTGGTTTTTAATCCACGAGACAGCAAACATAGGGGCACTTATAATCATCAGACGTGCTTACAGTGTTGTTAGACATGGCTAATTTATACTGTTGCTTTCATCTCTCCCAATTCTTTGATTATCTGCCAGATAGTAACATAATCTGCTCCCAATCCCAGTGGCGGCAGAGAGGGACATTTCAGTTTGGGGATTTTGTGGGTCCTTAGCTTTTCCCTTTCCCTTTTGGTCAATGTGGACCTGGCAGGAAAAAATAAGGGATAAAAATTTTATACAAGTCAAAGGCTGCGCAATTTTAGGTTTAATTTTACAAAGGCCTGGAAAAGGGTGGAGTTTGCTGACTAAAACCGATAGCTCTGGCTTATCCATGGACTTCAATTACTTATGATGTTCCCTTTCTCCACTTTCAAAACAGACCGCGTAACATTTTACACGTTTTCTGTTCTTCCTACCAACTCTTTTATTTATTTATTTTTAAGATTTTATTTATTTATTTGACAGAGAGAGAGAGAGAGATCACAAGTAGGCAGAGAGGCAGGCAGAGAGAGAGGAGGAAGCAGGCTCCCCGCTGGCAGAGAGCCTGATGTGGGGCTTGATCCCAGGACCCTGGGATCATGACCCAAGCCGAAGGCAGAGGCTTAACACACTAAGACACCCAGGTGCCCCCCGACTCTTTTAAACAACAGCAGGGTTCTGTGGAGGATAAGTAGCCCCAGACAATGACTGTTTTTTTTTTTTTTTTTTCAAAACACTATTTTGTAATTTTTTACATTTAGGGAATGTTTCTGAGTATTCATTAGGCTGACTTCAAATGTCTGGGTCACCTTAGGAAATCGACAGCGGATTTACAATCACACTGAAAAAATTCTAGAATGGCCTAAAAGCACACTTACTGTAACTCATCTAAATCAGACCAGGCCAACCCAAAGATAACAGATAACAGAAGACCAATAATGGGTAATATTCCTAGATAATAGAGTTTGGAGAGAACTCCTTTAGGGTTGTTTTGCTTTGTTTACTTTTGTTGGGATGTCTTTCCTGCATCAGAAAATGTTGTCCTGCCTGACGGAGAAAGAGTTTGTGGGGGGGTCTGTGAACTGTGGTTCCTTCGTCAGGATATATGCTGACAGGTGTGTTTGGAAGGCAGCAGGCAACCTGCCCAGCAGCGACCATCTCATACGAAAGCTATCATTCGCTGTGTTATCTCAGAGGAGCACTAAAACATTCAAGTTTATGTATTAGCTATTAAAGACTAAATGATTGTCCTAGAGAACCTCCCAGTATGGGCAGAGTGCTTTTCATGAATTGACAGGAGAAGAGTTCGAAGAGAGGGTACTTAAAAGACAAGAGGAGGCTGACGTGTTTCATTACAGCAGCATTCAGAGAGAGCGCTTGTTCTAAGGTGGAATGCTGGAAAGCCCAAGACCCTCATCAACAATGGGCTGCAGAGAACCAAGTCTTGCTTTTGCCCTGGATATGGACTTAGATTTTTTTTTAAGATTTTATTTATTTATTTGACAGACAGAGATCACAAGTAGGCAGAGAGGCAGGCAGAGAGAGAGGTGGAAGCAGGCTCCCCGCCAAACAGAGAGCACGATGTAGGGCTCGATCCCAGGACCCTGGGATCACGACCTGAACCGAAGGCAGAGGCTTTAACCCACTGAACCACCCAGGTGCCCCCGGACTTAGATTTTTTTCAGGAGAAAACACGCAGGTGATTACCTTTCAGCCTAGAGTGTCTGAAATGAGGGGCGTGGTCCCCATGAGGAAGAGCAGCTGTGCACCTAACTCCTAGGACCCTTTAGTGAGAATTTATCCTAAAAATTTAATTTATTTGACATCTATTCTAAAACCATACAGAGAGACTTTTCACAGCGTGTGCCTTTGGCACGATTCACATTTGACCGAAAGGAAAAGTCAGGGGGAGGATTTGAGGGAAAATACCCGCAAAGCAACTTAGAGAAATCACTTCTCATCCAGGTGATACACGAGGTACATACATTTCTAGGGTTTTCGTTTCCATAGACTGTGTGCAAAATCCGATGTTTTAAATTCCTTAAAACTGAGGAAGTTTCTGAGGTTAAATGACAAGTCTGTTTCGTACAAACTGTTTTATCTTAACGGAAATCTCACCATTTCCCAAATTGAGATCAAGGGAAGAGAGATAGCGGCATGCGGGAGACGGCACACAGCACAGCCACTCTCTCCAGAGCTATATTTTAGTTTCTGCTAATTATCCACTGAGTTTGTAAGGATGGGTATACATGTGAGAATTTTTTTGAAGGGCTCTCCTGTCACTTTTCCCTGGGATGCCCTTAGGGGGAAAGGTAAAAAGTCCAAGCCTGAGAGGATTACCCAGAAAAGTGTAGTTGCTACTGTTCTATGTTAACAACTAAACCACAATTTTGTTCTTAAAAACCCGTCCTTCTCCATTCTCTGTCCTTCCACAAGCTGAAGACCCAAATCCTCTTTTGCAAGTACTGAATGTGTGTCAACTTTTAATGTGGAAAAGAAAAAAAAAAGATAACTTGTTTTAGATATAAAATTAATACAAATCTGGTAACCTGAATCTAAAATCACCTGAGCGACACATCACGGCAACTGTGGCAGACCCTCAGAAGTAGGCACTTAACCTTTAAACTTCTGCCACGACTTCTTTTTTTTACCTTAAAAAAGAACCAAATATTGTCTTTGATTGAAGAGCATCAAAAAGATATATGCTCAGTTCAGTCAGGTTTTTTTTTTTTTTTTTGACGTAAACATGTTATCATTCTTAGATATTTGTATTTCTTATCTTTTTTTTTTTAAAGATTTTATTTATTCACCTGACAGAGATCACAAGCAGGCAGAGAGGCAGGCAGAGACAGAGAAGAGGAAGCAGGCTCCCCGCCGAGCAGAGAGCCCGATGTGGGGCTTGATCCCAGGACCCTGGGATCATGACCCGAGCCGAAGGCAAAGGCCCAACCCACTGAGCGACCCAGGCACCCCAGATATTTGTATTTCATAATTATTTCACAACTTTGAAAGTCCTTCCCTCCATGGAGAACTTATCACTGAATTTTATATTACAAGAAGAAAAATAAAAACATCAATCAGAAGAAGGAGAAGAAACTCAAAGAACTTCTCCCATTAAGCCAGAAAAGTCACTTGGCGACAGGTTTTCTCTGGGAAACCAGATCTTACAGGTACACTACTATCCACACATCTTGAGCAGGACACGTCTCAGGTTTTCTGTTGTAAATTTTTTATAGCTTTCTGGTAGAAGACACTTTTCATTTTGTGGAAACCCCTCAGAATATGGTTTTAAATGAATCCGTTCGCAAGGTTCAAAAGCTTTAAATTACTAGACCATGACTACCATTGAGAAGAGGCACTGAGCTATATCAAGGACAGAAAAAGAGAGGAAAAAAAAAAAAAAACAGGTACAAGTTTAATTCTCTAAGGTTGCCATGTAAGTGCTGCTCAGAAAGGATTAAGACTTCCTGAGAACAAGAGAGCTCCCAAACACATCACTTACAAAATGGGGAAAACACACACATGTTCTATAATCCATTGTGTCTGGTCAGTTCCGTCTTGGTAGAAAATTCCCTCTAGTTAAAATGTAGAGATTCTGTATTTTAGAATGTCCTCATTCATCTAATTTTCCATGAGAAAAAAAAAAAAGACTGACTGTAGAAATGTCATTGTTTTTCATATTATAGGAAGAATATGAAAATCAGATTAACTACATTTCTTAGAAACATTTCCCTCGAGCTGATTCACAAAAGTTAATAGCTTAAGAAATGGGCACAGTGCAGCATAGCCAAAGTGTATCTTGACAAGACAAACAAGTTGTATATTTAAAGAAGCCTTTTTGTCTCATTTGGTAGGCCTGGGACTTACCTTCTCTTCTTCTTTAAAGAGGTGTTTAGTTGTCTTGGTTGTGCAGAAATTCCAAATCCCTTTGTCTTAGAAGGGCAGGAATTCTAGAATAAAATAAATAAAATATATAAACAGAAAGAAAACTTGATCTGAAGTTTTATATAAATAATTTCAGTTCTGAAACTCTTTAAATATTAAGACATGTATCATAACAAGGAAATGCTGCTGATTTATAATAATTAAACATAAACAATATTAGTTATCATAAAAAGAACGTGTGACTATCCTAGTAGTGTGTTAAGCTAAAGTTTATTTCATGTATTCATGCAATCCTTTTGCTTTTTTTTTTGGTAGTAAAAGTATGAAATTTATGGCATATTTATCTTGACAAAGAGTGAAATGTTTATGAATTTATCTGAGATCTGCCACCTTTCTATCTTGTTTAAAGCCCCTCCCATCTCTGTCTCTGCTGCTAGTACTGATTACAGGGTTGTGAAAGTTATGTCAAAAGTAGGAGATAGTTTTTGTCACATCGTATTCCCAGAGCTCAGGATTACGTTTATTACTGTGTGAATTTACAAATACTTGTTTCTGGTTCTGCTGAAGGAAAAAAAAATGCATGAGTTTCTTGTTTTTGCTTTATTTAGTCATTTTAAAGAGCAATCACAGAGAAAATGAATCCATTGCTTGAGTTTCTCATTTTAGTATTACACAGTCCCTTGCAGTAGTTTCCAAGTGTCAAACAGTCCAATTCTCTCTGTTCCCTTTCTTTCCCTTTTTCTCACCCTAAATTAAACAACAAAAAATAATAATAAAACCAACTAAACAAACAAAAGACATGGAGGGTTTAAGATAGGCAAAGATAAGTTACAGATTATTTTTAGGATTTCAACCTTGTTTACTAAGAGATAATTGATATAATCATGGGAAAAAGAGAAGTGGAGAGATAGAACTAGTTTTACAGAAAGCTGGTATTTGTTTGTTTGTTCAAATATATTGAGGGGCCAGATCAATATCCAGTCAATATATTAGCTGAAAAGTTAGGTTATAAAGGTTGGAGTCTTGGAACAGATGTAACTCTTCAAGTGGTGGGAAAAAGTTGGTCTACACTTGGGAAATACCTACTAACAGAGTGTTAGGGAGTGTGTGTGTGTGTGTGTGTGTGGGGGGGGGCGGGGGGATGAAGAATAAGCCATAAAAGGGACAAGAGAACTGGAAAGAGGAAGGGACTCGGGATCAAGGAGTCACCTTGGAGGCATGGAGCAAATGTCCTGAGAAGAAGTTATTGGTCCACAGTTTTAAGTACTACAGGAGATTTGAAAGGATGAGAACTGGCTGAAGATGATAGGAGTTGATTTTGGAAAAACACGTGTGACTTAGGAGACAGGTATTTTGGTCAGAGAGAGGGTACAACAGCCAGCTAATATGAGGAGGAAAGCCAGATTATGACAGGAATGGAAAAAAAAAATATGGTACAGTTGATGGAAATGGTGCTTTGGTGGTCATTTTACTTTGGGCTGCTTAAAGCATGGGATCATCTGGGCATGCTAATGAAACAGAACTGGAGACCAATGATGAAGGAAAGGCTGCAGGACCTAGAGAAAGGTGAGGTGGGTGTGTGCGCGTGCAAAGGAGAGCAGCTGGGAACACGTGTGGGCAGGAAGTCTGGCTGTGAAGGGGGAGGGACGTCATGCCATTTGATTTAAGGCAGAAAGGAGAAAGTCATTTGTGACTTGAGAAATTGTGAAATATGAAACAGGACTGGAGAGGCTGCTGGGGCAATATGGTTAGGCATTAAAAATAAACGAACAAACAAGTTCGAGTGGGAATCCAGTGTGATTAAATAGGATAGGGTTATCCTGGATCTCGTTGGAAGATTTTCATGATTTTCCCAAGAAACCGCATGAGGCATCATCTGAGAAAATCAAAGGTGAGGCTAACCCAAGGTTGGGGACCTACTTGACAAAACAGAAAAACAAAACAAAACAAACAAAACAAGAACAACAACAAAACAAAAACAAAAACAACAGGGAAGTCAAGGAGTTGTACAAAACCTGTAAAAGAGTAAAGAACTGGATGACTTAGAGACTGGGCTGGGTATTTCAATTAGTTAACCAAGCCCTTTCTTGTCTTCCTCCCTCCTCTCTCCCCTCCCTGCCTCTCTCCTTCTTTCCTCCCCTCCCCTTCTCTTCCCTCACCTCTTTCTTTCTCTTTCCCCTTCCTTCCTGCCTTCCTCCCTTCCCTTCTTTCCTCCTTTCTCCTCCCTCCCTCCCTCCCTTCCTTCCCCCTTCCTTCCTCTTTTTTTCTTCTTTCTGTCTGTCTTTCTTTCTCTTTGATACTTACTGAGTCCTTTCTTTCTTTTAGGCATTGTGCTAGGCACCGGATAAGAAAGAGGGGGATGAGATAACATCTTAGCACATTTTCACCATAATCATGTCAGCAACACTCATCTCGTATATGTGTGTCATAAGTGTAAGTGTATAATACGTCTGTGTAAGCATCCACATATAAAATAGCATTATGCGCGTTTGGGTTCTCTCTCATGTAAATTCGTCTCATCTTTTCTCACACTGTGGGTGTCACTATAGGTCCTCAGTATCTTTATTTCGAAATCTTCGTATCCTATAGACTGCTGTGTTTGTGAGATGCTGTTTGACAGCAGCATCGCTGTGGCAGGGCAAATGACCACTGTAGATGAGCCCAAGCGAAGGGAAACTTTGGTAAAGTATCAAGGGGTGCGGGGTGAGGAGGCATCCTGAAATCGGAAATAGGTTTTTGAGCACAGAAAAATAAATCAGTTCTGCTGTGTGGTAATCTATGCCTAAAAATCCGTATTCCTTTATTGAAAGAAACAAAACAAAACAAAACCCAAATCATCTTTTATCCAGGCAAAGAGGATTCCACATCAGATGGAATTAATGTGGGAGCCGCCGTGCTGTGTGGAGAGTGTGAGTGGGGGAGCGAGCACTGGACGCTGGGTGGTTCAGAGGACTGCAAAGGGCTCCCGAGGAGCAGGATGTTGAGGAAACTTTCTAGGGATTCTCGAAAGTCGGATTTGGACTTCATCTTTCAAAATATGTATTTTAGGGGCGCCTGGGTGGCTCAGTGGGTTAAAAACCTCTGCCTTTAGCTCAGGTCATGATCCCAGGACCCTGGGATCGAGTCCTGCATAGGGCTCTCTGCTCCACAGAGAGCCTGCTTCCTCCTCTCTCTCTGCTTGCCTCTCTGCCTACCTGTGATCTCTGTCAAATAAATAAATAAAATCTTAAAAAAATTTAAAAAAAAATATGTATTTTAGTTTCCTGCAGCTGTTTGGGAAGTTTACAGCTCTGCATGGGTCTTGAACCCAAGTGTGGGCAGATGCTTCCCATGTCGCTAGGGTGGCAGGAGGCCACAGGTAAGGGGCCCAGGGGCGCTGCCGGCTGGGCTCAGACCATCAGCTTCGGGGCTGACACCTGATGCTCTCATGGCACCAGCTACTTAACGGTGACCTCTTTGGTGCTACTTCCTTCAACTCACATCTACAGAATGCTGAAGATGCCGGTTCTGAAACCAAACTGCTTGTGAAGGTGCCTCAGCTTGGCCATGTGACAGCGGAGCCTGGAGGACCTTAAGCAAGACACTCCATTTCTCTGTGCTTGAATTGCATCATCTTTAAAATGGGAATAAAAGGACACCTTCCCTTGGCTTTGTCATGAGGATAAAGAGGGTTAATATTTGTAAAGCACTTCGAGTGCTAATACTTTGAGACACTTTTAGATTCTAAATTGTAATCATTATTTATATCTCTACATTGAAATATAAGTTTTGTCTTCCGTGAGATGATTGTTTTTTTAAGACTAGAGACAGAATCTTGATTGGTGATGGGAAAATTTCAATAGGTGTTGATCAAGGAACATTTGAGATCAATTGGATTCAAAATGAAACTACTGGTATCCTTCCAGAACCAACTACCTTCTCAATTAGTGTAGAGCATCCTGAAACACACAATACAGGATGGAACACTTGTGTGGAGAATGCTCGTGCAAAATCAGGTAAAACAGAGAAAGTATAATGACGATTTGTGTCATTAGGTTTCGTCTTGTAGGTGATCAAACATTTCTTAAATCTTCAGTGTTCTTATGTAGTTAATATACCCTATACTCCCCACCAGGCTTCAATTTTTTTCTTGAAACAAAGTACAATGAGCATAACAATAAGAGGCAGATTTTTTCTCTATTAATTGATTAGCTGAACACCATAGGAAAGAGATCTGTGCAAACAGCATTGAGATCTGCCAATGCAGAGACAAATAACAACATTCAAAGACAGCGGCTGCCTTGTCCTACACGTGGCATCTCACTCCTGCAAAGAAATGACTAAAGCCCTATTCTGCTGATATCAGGCAATTATCTACTATGAAACTACAATGGATAGAAAACTTCAGTAATGTATTTCAGAGAAGACCCTTAAAACCATACTTACACAATGTTTAATAAAGACATTTGGAGATGGGGAGAGTTGGAAGTATTTATAATTCAACAGAATGAAAGTATGTAGAACTCTGTTCATCTTATTTTCATTTTTTTCTAACTGATCACTGTAGATAAACATTTGGAAGACTGTTTATGAAATACATAACACGCAAGAGGAGGGGACATCTTAGGAGATTTGAGCCATCTTTAGCACAATGAGAAATCAGCTGGCCAACACCACACTGAGGTCTGTTGACTGTCAAAACCACTGTAAAAAGCAAAGTGAGCCTGTTATAAAAAATACCGGCAAGATAAACAAATTAGCTCAATAAAGCTGTGGCCAAGCAGTATTGAAGAAATGTGTTTCTGGTCAGCAAAATTAATAGCATTTTTTGTTTTCACCATTTTAATATCAGAAACACATGAAAAAAAAAAGCAAGGGTGGCAGATCCTCTAAAAATTGTTTTAAAAATTGGTTCAAGTGGTCTTTGCATGCTGGGAAGCTAAAACTAGGTAATTGAAATGATAGCCTCTTATTTATTCATTTGCTCGGTAGACATGATGGTGTGTCTATGGCCAAGTTCTGCTTTAGGTTCTAGCGACATAAAGATGCACGAAATCTGACACGGCCACAGTCCTCATGCAGCTGA